AGTGGGTTTTTGAAAAATAAATTTAAAGGACAGCTTTCTGAAATAAGAATGTTCTTTGAAATAACATGCACTTTAATGACTTCAGCAATGGACAGAAAAAAATCAAGGAGAAAAGCAACATAGAACTTAGGAGAGATTTCCTGACAGAACAATAAATCACAACTTGCCTCCAGAAGTTGTGGGTGCTCCAGCACTGGAAATGTTTAAAGAAGAGATTGGACAACCATTTGTCTGAAATGGTATAGGGTTTCTTACCTGAGCAGGGGGTTGGACGAGAAGACCTCCAAGGTCCCTTCCAACTCATTCTGTTATTCTGTTCTGCTTCATTCCAGCAAGAAATTCTCTGTAAATGTGGGAGGCTGCTCTTCAATGTGAGAATTTTCCTGTTTTTTTCCAGGTTCTGGTGGGAGAACCGTGGAGTGTTCACCTCAGCCCAGCGACAGGCTCTTGCTGCAGCGTCATTGCCACGCATCATCTGTGACAATACCTACATCCGCGAGGTACCTCGGTTCGTTTTCCGAGCCAATCAGTATCCACGTAATTTTGTCAACTGCAGTGCCATCCCAAGGCTCAGCCTCTTTCCATGGAAAAAGACTCCTGAATAGATCAGTGAAGGTAAGATGCATTTGGTTTCTGATGCAACTATGGAATCTATACATTTGCATTCATGAGCTTTTCCTTGGGATGTCACTTAGCCTTAGAAGGGTGTTGCCATATTGAAGTTGTAAAACAATATTCCCCAGAAAAGAATGCAAAGATGTGTGCGTGCATGTGTATATTTGTGTGAATGGGCGGGTGTTATAGAGGGTATGTGACATCTTTTCTGAGCCCTCCCCCCCACCATAACTATTCCCAGTGTTTCATCCTCTGTTCCCTCTCTCAATATTTTTCAACCTCAGCAACTTTATGTATGGATTTCAGTTCAAAGAATTCCCCAGCCAGCAAGTTTCCTAGCTAATGAATTTTGGGAGTTGAAGTCTGTAACACTGTAAAGTCTGCAACACTGTAAAGTGTCAATGCTGCTAACATCGGATTATTTGCATTGACATCAAATGGAAATGTAGCCATCTTTTATCTTTTGCTTTTAGAGTTAGATGATGCTGGGAGGGGGAATGTGAGTGAGAGTCCAGCTAGACATAACAATGCTGGACCCAGTGTGAGAAACAAGGTTATTGTAACCAGAGCTGATAAGAAATTGGTGGGCTGGAGAACGGGAGAGGAAGCTCACACTTCCCACTAATTTATGACTGTTAATTGGAGGATGGAATTGTGCTTTGATACTATGTGCTCAGGGAAGGGGAATTTAGTTTTTTGCTTCAATTATGCATTGCCATTTATACAAAGGGGTTCTGGTGTATCTTGATGACATCCTGATATACAGAACGAATATGACTGACCATGTAAAATTAGTAAGAGAAGTACTAAAGAAACTGTTAAATGCCAAACTTTATGTCAAACTATCAAAGTGTGAGTTTCAGCAGAGCCAATTAGATTATCTTGGCTACAGAATTTCCAGAGAGGGCATTGAAATGGACCCGACCAAAGTGAAAGCTGTAATTGAATGGCAGCCTCCAAAGACTCGCAAACAGCTCCAGAGCTTCCTAGGATTTGCCAACTTTTACCATCAATTCACCCCCTCCTTTGCCAAAATTGCCCTACCCCTCACAGAACTACTAAAAACGGGCAAGAGGGAGGAAAGCCGCGATCGGGCCAACCACTAGCATGGACTATGTATGAACTGTCAGACTGCTTTTGAAAACTTAAAAAGACTATTTGCTGTTGAACCGGTTCTAAAGCATCCCTGCCCAGGGCAGCCCTTTCTAATTCAAGCCAATGCCAGCGACGTGGCCATCGGAGCTATACTACTACGAAAGAACCAAAGTAGGACCTTACAACCTTGCACCTACACCTCGAAAAAATTCACTGCGAGAGGAGGTGGGCTGTGTGGGAAAAGGAGGCTTTTGCAATCCGCTGGGCTCTATTAAACTGGAGACACTATCTAGAGGGGAGCAAGGTGCCTTTTGAGATATGGACTGATCACAAAAATCTAGAAGCACTGAAAATTCCCCGCAAATTGTCCCTGAAACAAGTGCGATGGGCGCAGTACTTTAACCATTTTAACTTCACTTTAAAGTACATACCGGGGGGAAAAAACCTCTTAGCTAATGCTTTATCCAGACTGCCCCAGTACAAAACCCAGCGGGAAGAGGTTAACGAGGCAATTATCTCCAATCCACAACCAGCCTCTCAGCTCATGCTGCACAGAGTCCCACCTTCAAGAGCCCCTTACCCTGATGACCCTGGGGCAAAGAAAATAAAACAAGAGCTCCTCAATGACCAATGGTTCAAAGACAATCAAACATCCCTAGTGTGCAGGGATGGTTTGGCTTACAAGGGGGGAAAGGTATACTTGCCAGAGACCCTCCACCTTAGTGCTCTCCGACATACCATGACATGAAACAGTCTGGACACTCTGGATATTTAAAAACACTACACCTCATCCGCCGGCAATTCTGGTGGCCGGGTTTGAAACGGGATGTGGAAAGCTATGTTAGGAGTTGTGCTGTATGTGCCACCATGAAAAGAATTCCAGGGAAACCCCCTGGGTTGTTGCAACCAGTGGCAGACCCTTCCCAACCATAGGAAGAAATTGCTATGGATTTTACAGTAGATCTACCTAAAAGTAGAGGAAATACAGTCATCTGGACTGTGATAGATCTGTTTTCAAAGCAGGCTCATTTCATCGCAGTGCAAAGGGCTTCCGTCTGCCCAATGACTGACCAAAATGTTTTTGAAACACATCTACCAGGTGCAGTTCACAGCTATGTTTTGGAGAAGTTTCCTTAAACTAACTGGTTCATCTCAAGGTCTATCATCTTTTTTTCATCCAGCTACTAAGGGGGGGGGCTGAATCCGCTAACTCGATGGTGGCGCAATATCTCAGATGCTACGTCAGCTACCAAGAAACAAACTGGACTGACCTCCTCCCTTTCACAGAGGTGGCTTACAATAACTCTGTTCACAGCAGCACTGGCTTCACACCTTTTAAAGTGGCTGCAGGAAAAGAGTTCAACCCGATACCAGAATACCCCAGGTGCCCTCCACTTCCCAGATACTTGATCAATGGGTGAAGGGGTGGGAAGAAGTTTGGAAAACCACAAAGACTGTTTTAAAAAAGGCTTCTGAGACATATAAAAAGCAGGCAGATAAAAAAGGGCTCCTCAAAGAACATTCCAAGTTGGGGGAAAAGGTTTATCTGTCAACTAAGTATTTACGGCTCAAGTTACCCAGTAAGAAGTTAGAACCGAAGTTCCTGGGACCTTTCCCCATTGTAAAGATCATTAACCCAGTCACAGTGGAATTAAAACTCCCTAAGCTCTTAGGAAAAATTCATCCTGTTTTCCATTGCAGCCTGTTGAAACCTTATCGGGGTTCCACTTTAAAACCTCCCCTTAAGAAGGCACCCAGACCCCTTGTGATGGCAGGACAGACTCACTATGAAGTAAATCGTATTCTTGATTCTAGAATTTTTAAAGGGAAATTGCAGTTTTTAGTACAATGGAAAGGATATTCGTTGTCTGAAGAGAGGCAATCCCTAACCTACGAGGAGAAGGGCGGGATATAAATCCAAATAATAAATAAATAAATAAATAAATAAATAAATAAAACCTGTGCTTTTGTTTATATTAAAGGATTTATCCTTTTTGTAAGAGGGGCTGGATGTCAACTCTGCTAACATCGGATGTTTTTGCATTGACAACAAATGGAAATGTAGCCATCTTTTACCTTTTGCTTTTAGAGTTAGATGATGCTGGAAGGAGGAATGTGAATGAGAGTCCAGGTAGACATAACAACGCTGGATCCAGTGTGAGAAACAAGGTTATTGTAACCAGAGCTGATAAGAAATTGGCAGGCTGGAGAACGGGAGAGGAATCCCGTGCTTCATGCTAATTGGGGAATGTGATTTATGACTGTTAATTGGTGGAGGGAATTGTGCTTTGATACTATGTGCTCAGGGGAGGGGAATTTAGTTTTTGGCTTTGATTATGGACTGCCGATGCTATGCTACTCAAAATAAAGATTGTTTAAGGTAAACAATGCCTCAAAGTTCTTTGAGTTTTATCTGTCAGAACCATGACATAAAGTTGCTGATCTTAATAGCCAGCCATCAACACCCCAATCAACATCTAAAAAGCGATATACAACAGGCACCGTATAAATACCACACAGACAATAGCCGAAAGTGCAGAGAGAAGTTCCTAGAAGATGGGCTCCATCACGAATCCAAACACTCAGAAAAGTAAACCTCTGAACTGACCCAGAGTGGATCTTGCATTTATCTGAACTCTTAAATAACAATTTTATGGATCATCTTTTCCCCTAATGCTGATCTTAAGCAGCCTCTGCCTGCATTTTTGCAATCACTATGAGCTGCTGAACAAAGGAAGATAGTTTGCTGCATCCCCAGTTGGGTCATTACGGGGAGTATTTGGGAAAAGCCAATTTTGCTAGAGGCTGCTTTCTAATATGTTGTTGAACCAAGGACAGGTTCAGTGCCCTGTGCCCTGCTCCTAAACCAGCCTCAACTTCATCACTAAAAAATGTTTTGAAAGGAAAATTAATAAGGTTTCTGTATAGCCCTCTTTATCTTCCCTCACTTAGAGATCCTCTTCTCCAGATAGGTTATTCAGTTTATCCTATTAAAGCACCCTTGTCATTTTGCTTTGGAAGCAGCAATTCAGTCTTACCAGAATAGCTTTCAACATTTTGTTCAAAGGAGAGAGAATTTTGGTGAAATACAATGAATACAGTGAGGTGGAGGACATGCCAGAATAGCTATTGGTCTTATTGAGCTTGGCTGTTTTGTTCCTATGAGGCCATTATTAGTTTTCTATTTTCTACGCCGACAAAAAAATGGACCATCGCAGCATGCAAGGGGAAAGGATGTGTGGGGTTTGTTTGGACGTAGTAAACAACCCCAGCAAAGGCTTGTGGTCAGTAAAGACCGTAAAATGGCGTCCATAGATAAAATCATGGAATTTTTTAATTCCAGCCACAATAGCCAAAGCCTCCCTTTCAATTTGAGCATAGTTACGCTCTGCAGCAGACAATGTCCTAGAATAATATGCCATAGGGACCTGAGTCCCATCAGCTGTCAGATGGCTAAGCACAGCACCCACACCATAGGGGGAAGCATCACAAGCCAGGCACACTGGCAACTGCTCATTAAAATGAGCTAGCACCGCGTTGGATGTAAGCAAGGCCTTAACCTCATTGAAACTAGCTTCATGGACTTTGGTCCACTGCCAACAGGCATTTTTATCTAAAAGTCTGTGTAAAGGCTCAGCAATAGCAGCTTTATGAGGCAGAAAAGCATGATAGAAGTTCAATAACCCCAAAAAAGCTTGTAATTCACCCTTAGACATAGGACTAGGAGCCTGCTGAATAGCTTTGAGCTTAGCATCAGACGGGTGGATGCCCTGAGCATCTATCTTGAACC